CAAATTTTACATAGCAAATCAAGATGAATGTAATTCCAAATGTAATTTATTTATGAAATGGTCCCTCGGGTGAAGAATAACTTATTCTGCACCCTGTATCATGTGCCTAGCCCGTGATCTTTGCAATATCATGTTTCTTGGTTGGACTTACTAACCATGCAAACACTTGTATGTTTCATAGAAATTTGCGAACTCTCTCAAATCCGCGAACAGACCTCCTAAAGAGAAGATTTTGTTCTCAAAGATATATAGTAGCAAGAGTAGTGCACTGGTCGGCCTTGAATCATTCTTTTCTTCTATTTGACACATTTCGACATGTACACCCCTGTATTTAGCGCACACCCCTGTCAATTGTTTCTTCCGTCAAAAGGCCGGCCCATCTAATGTAACTTAGCATGCGATCTGGTACGAAGCTCCTTCTAGTTTGTAAGCTTCCAAGCCCGGTTTTGGGGAAAATCCTATGCGCCGCTCATTGCGTCAAAATGTCGACAGAACGCACAGGCAATACCCCGCATCGCTAGCAATGGACCGGCCCATTAAACCAGAGCTAGACATCCGGTTTTCGGAAGCCTCTAGAAGGTTCCGTGAACCGTTTTTTCTTGTTTTTAACGTTTTTCCTGTTACTTCTTGGGTTTTTTCGTTTTTCTTTTCTCTGTTTTTCTGTTTTGTTTTCTTCTTCTTTTTTCTGGTTTCCGTTTTTTTCCTTGTTTGTTTCTTTCAAAAATTGTTCAGAAAGTCCAAAATTTGTTCGTGTTTCTAAAAAAGTTCCAAATTTCAAAAAATGTTCGTGTTTAAAAAAATTGTTCAAAATTCGAAAAATGTTTGCTTTACCAAAAATTGTTCCGGCATTACAAAATTATTCTGAATGTTTTTGTTCAAAAAATTTCACATTTTTTAGAAAACGTTTATGTTTTAAAAATTGTTCATGTTTTCATTTTTTGAGAAGTTTCAAAAAATGTTCCAGTTTTAAAAATTGTTCATGTTTTCATTTTTCAGAAGTTTAAAAAAATGTTCCAGTTTTAAAAATTGTTCACAAGGTTTTAAAAAATCGTGTTTGGAAATTTTGTTCAGGAATTTGAAAATATGTTCACCTTTCCAAATTTTGTTCTGAAATTTGTAAAAATGTTCTGGTTGCAAAAAAATTGTTCAAGATTTCCAAAAAATGTTCTTGTTTTTCGAAAAATTTATAGCTTTTTAAAAGTTGTTCACAAATTTGATAAGTTTTTGCTTTTCACACAACATTCCGTTTTTTTTAAATATTGCTTCCGAAATTCTTAAACTAATTCGGATCTGCGCAGCTTGTTTGTTCTTTAAGTTTGATGCTAGCCATTTCATCAGCTACGACAGCTAGCCCAGTTGGCAAGAAGTCATGCTGTGTAGCCAAGCATCGCGTGTTCGAATCCCTGTCAATGCGAATTATTTTTTTAGCTACAGGGCGCGTTCGATTTCTGTTGCTGTCGCTGTCTTCATGGGCCGGCCCAGTCGAAGTCCCCCCTGTGCGAAACGGCGACGATTTGACGCAAAGAGCGTCACATA